AAAACAGTAAGGAGAGTTTTCAAAAATATAAAAACAGAACCACTACATCATCCAGCAATCTGTGGGTGGGGTGGCAAAGCCCTGGAGTTCAAGGGTCAGGGTTGGCAGACAGCAGGGCCTGGGGCCACTTGGGTAGCTGCAGGAGAATGAAAGAGGCAGATGCCTGAGTCCTAGAGTATGGAAGTGAGGGAGGTGAGGGGCTGCCTCCAGAGGGCAGGAGATTAACAGAAGAATTTTTGAGATCTCTTGGGAATAGGGAGGATTCAAGCCCTCAGGATCCAGGACAAGGGTTCAGAAGCTTGGGCCAGGCTCATGGTTGACCTCTTTGTAACCCACAACCATCTTCAGATTCCAACCTAAGTCATGCACACATCATCCCAGAACAACATCTCCTTGGCTCCAGCAGAGGGGCCTGCTCTCTGTCTGTGACCCTGTGGATCCTGGGCCTGGCATGATGGCTTCTGCTGTCAAAGGCAATGAGAGGCAGCCATTCAGCAAACTGAGTGCTGTGACCCCAGGCCTCATGGGACTGACTCTGATGTAACAATAAAGTCCTAGCTCAGAAAGTACGTCCCTGGAACTATTACCCTGGGCCCCTTAGCACCTGGCCTTAGCTATCGTTTCTTCAGGACCCTAGGGACTTCCTCCTGCTCTATACACACACACACACACACACACACACACACACACACACACACACACCCTTTCTAAAGGAATGCTTCCCATTTTTCTCTCCTCCCTGACTCACTCTTCTTCCTTCTTTTCTTTTTCTTCTTTCCTTCTCTCATCCCCCCTCCTCCTCCTCCTCCTCCTTCTTCATCATGATAATCTCCTCCCCCTCCTCTCCTTCCTCCTCCTTCTTCTTCCTCTTCTTCTTCTTCCTCCTCTCCTCTTTCTCTTCTTCTTCATCTTCTCTCCTTCTCCTCTTCCTCCTCCTTCTCCTTCTCCTTCTTCCTTTTTCTTTCTTCTTCTTTTTATAAAAAAAAATGTATAATTGACTCACAGTTCCAGAGTTGGATATGATTCCTTCTTCTCTTATGATCCATTTCTTCTCCTTCTGCTCCCTGGAGCCTCCCTGACTCCTGGACCGAGGCTGCTCTCCCTGGACGCCAGGGCTGATTCCTGGGATGAGTAGCCTCCACTTGCAGAAGCAGCGGCAGGAACAAGGGACAGGACAGGAGGCCAAGGTCTCATCCTGGAGGCTGAGGGACTAGGTCTTCTGGTAACAAGGGTTTGAGGGTGGGTCAACCCCAGACCTGATCCTGTTTTGCCCTGGAAACCTCTCTCTGCCCTGAGATGAAAGTGCAGTCAGTTGCAGGAGAAAACGGTCATATCAACATGGATTTTGGGAAGCTGGATGGACTCAGAGCCTGACTCGAGACCCGGAGGTTCCCTTGTGTGCAGAGCCCTGTCCAGGTGCTGGGTGCAGAGGGAGAGCCTTGGCGGTCCTGGCTGGGGAGAGAGGGTAGCGTGGTCCTCTGTCCTGGATCCTATGGCTACACTGGGACAGCGCCATGCTGCTTTTGGATTCTGACTGAGCACTCTCCAGTACGAGGTTGCAGGCTGAGTGGGCAGAGGGAGCTGAGCCTAGGTTATCCATCCAGGATGGAGGTTCCTCCTGAGCAGCCCTGGAATCTACAGGACTCAGGCTAGATTTGCTTGTCTTTCAGCATGAGGCAATTGTGGAGTAGCAGGATCTGGATCTAGAATTCTTATGATGAATACTGTTCTCATAGAATCCAACCAGAATGAGAGTCCAGGGCCTGAGTTGACTGTCCTGGGCACACTCAGCTTTGATGGAGTTGCCAAAAACGTAACTTTGGCAATTGCCGAAATTTCAATGATTGTCGAAAACACCAAATACTTGTGTACAATTTCACTTCTGATGTCTCTGACTGTGCTTTGAAAGGGCAGAAAGAGCCATGGAAAGAGGCTGAAAGACTCCTCTGGGAATTCTGAAGTCCTTTTTCATAGCAGTAACAATTCAGAAGTGACTGAGCCATGGGAACTAAAAAGAGAGGAGGGCGTGAGGGATGAGGGGCAGAGAGAAGGGCCAGGGAGCAGGAAGTGAAGAAAAGGGGCATCGGGGAAGAATTCTAAAGCAGTGGAGGAGGCCGGCAGGGGCTTCTTTGCAATTGCTGTTTCTCTACTGGGCAGTGTGATAATTACACGACTATAAATAATTACCAATATTCACCAAAAAGCACAGCTAAAACTGGTGACTTTTATTAAGTGTAAATGTCCTAATAAGCAAAAAATAGGAGTGAAAAGGGAAAAATAAAGACACTTTTAGATTATCAAAACCATAAAATTTATTTCCTAGGGGACCTCTACTGCATGTAATCTTAAAGGAAGTTCTTCAGGCTTAAGGTAAGTGGTACTAGAGGTGACCCAGATACACAGAAAGGAACAACAACAGAAATGATGCACACACGCATATCACATACGCACTCATTTTCTTAATTTCCTGAAGACATATGGCTGTTTGTCTAAAATAAAAAGTATTACACTGTATCATTGAGTTTATCATGTATATTAATGTAATATACCTAACAATAATAGCATCATGATGGGTTAAATGAAACTATACCATTTGAAGTGTCCTTTATTTCACCGAATGTATTTTAATATTACCTGAACTTCACTGTGGAAAGTCAAGGAATTGGGTTTCCATTCTTAAAACAATAAAAACATGAGTGTAAAGAAATATAGCTATGCCGGGCACTGTGGCTTACACCTGTAATCCCAGCACTTTGGGAGGTTGAGGTGGGCGGATCACCCGAGATCAGGAGTTAGAGACCAGCCTGACCAACATGGAGGTCTCCATATGCAAGCCTGGACCCAGAGAGTCTGAAGTCCTGCCTGCCTCAGCTGATCACACCCACCCCTCAACCCCTCACCCCCAACCCCCCACTCCCTTCCCCCTCACCCCCTCATACCCCCCTGCCCCCCATCCCCACCGTCGTTCACCATTATTCCTGATAGCCCAGCTGAGCTTCCCCAGGATGTGAGCTTCCCCAGGATATAAGCTTCCCCCTCACCCCACCCTGCCATCTTAACTGTTCTTATAATATTGTGAATACTCCTCACCCCACCCTGCCATCTTAAATACTTTTACACCTTACCCCACTTGCCATTGTAACTGAACTTATGGTAATGTATACTCCTTGTCCCTCCCACCACTGGAACTGATCTTACCCCCTAACACCCCTCTCCCCTCCGCAAAAGATCTTCCCCAACCTGTAAAACTAACTCCTATTCCACCGTCCCTCGCTAACGCCCTTTTCAGCCTTAGCCCACCTGCACCCAGGTGAATAAACAGTCATGTTGCTCACAAAGCCCATTTGGGGAGTCTCTTCATTCAAAGCACATGTTTTAACATGGAGAAACCCTGTCTCTACTAAAAATACAAAATTAGCCATGTGTAGTGGCATGTGCCTATAATCCCAGCTACTCGGGAAGGCTGAGGCAGGAGAATTGCTTGAACTAGGGAGGTGGGGATTGCGGTGAGCCGAGATCGCGCAATTCATTGCATTCCAGTCAGGGCAACAAGAGCAAAGCTCCATTTCAAAAAAAAAAAAAAAAAAAAAAAAAAAAAAAAAAAAAAAAAAAAAAGCTACTAGGAGAATTAAAACCATAAACTGAAACATGTTTCCTTAACACATAAGAAAGTAGCAAATGAGGAAAAGAAACAAAAAGATAGGAGACAAATTGAAAACATGTAGCAAAATGGTTGACCAAAATCCAACCATTCTAGTGAAGAAATGACAGGACCTGAGTCACATTAACAGGACTGCTGAGCACTGTGGGGAGAACAGACACGGGTATGAAGTGAGGGACAGTGTCAGTGTCAGTGCCACAATTCAGGAGTGACAGGGTGGTGGGGACTAAGGGGAGAGAAGGATGTGAGGGATGACAGGGGCAGAGAGAAGAGCTGGAGAAGCAGGAGGTGAGGAAAAGGAGCAGGGGGCAGAATTCTAAAGCAGTGGAAGAGCCTAGCAAGTTCTTTGCATTCGTATTTAATACATTTTGTGGGACTTCCTAAAAACCAATGGCCTCTTTATGATTAAAAAAAGGATTATGAAATACTAAGTGTCCAAATAAAATATACACACTGCTAGATGTGCATAGTTCACGAAAACAGGCAGTGCTCGAGCGCTAGTGAAGAGCATTGGGACTGCATGGAGCACTCGAAACTTGATGGCTACAGGTTGCAAGATACAATAACAAATCTGCTTCTTTGTTCTCAGACGTTCTGGACTCACACAGGGAAACTCTGACTAGGGAATGAAGATAATTTTAAATGCAACAATCCAGAATCACAGATCCATAGTCGGGGAAAGTAAAACTTAGGAGATTTGAGAGTTTAACCGTAATGCTGTTTTGACACAGGTCTTTGACAGATTGGAATTCTAATCATTCAGGGATTACAATATTGTGCTACCTACTGTATTAAACACAAAGGAAACTGGTCTCTATGAGAATCTCCATCTGAAAAAAACTTCACCAGGTTTAAAGAGAAAACCCCTGTCTCTACACCTCCACTCCCAGGGCGAGCTCACTCTCTGGCAACAAGTTCCCCGCGGTGAGTTTCCTCGCACAGGAGTCCAAGGGGAGAGGTAAGGAGTGGGAGGCGGGGAGTCCAGTTCAGAGACCGGGATTCCAGGAGGAGAAATGAAGGGGAAGGGGCTGGGCGCAACCTGGGGTTCTCTTTCTGGTTTCCACAGACAGATCCTTGGCCAGGGCTCAGGCAGACAGTGTGACAAAAAGGCTTGGTGTAGGAGAAGAGGGATCAGGACAAAGTCCTAGTTCCCGGGCGTGGCTCTCAGGGTCTCAGGCGCCTAGGGCCGTGTCTGCACTGGGGAGGCGCAGCGTTGGGGATTCCCCACTCTCCTGGGTTTCACTTCTCCCAACCTGTCAGGTCCTTCTTCCTGGATACTCGTGACGCCTCCCCAGTTCCCACTCCCAGTGGGTGCCGGGTTTCTAGAGAAGCCAATCAGCGTCGCTGCGGTCCCGATTCTGAAGCCCCGGGTCACCTACCTGGACTCAGATTCTCCCCAGACGCCGAGGATGGGGTCATGGCGCCCCGAACCCTCCTCCTGCTGCTCTCGGGGGCCCTGGCCCTGACCCAGACCTGGGCGGGTGAGTGCGGGGTCGGGAGGGAAACGGCCTCTGCTGGGAGGAGCGAGGGGCCCGCCCGGCGGGGACGCAGGACTCGGGGAGCCGCGGCAGGAGGAGGGTCGGCGGGTCTCAGCCCCTCCTCGCCCCCAGGCTCCCACTCCATGAGGTATTTCTACACCGCCGTGTCCCGGCCCGGCCGCGGGGAGCCCCGCTTCATCGCTGTGGGCTACGTGGACGACACGCAGTTTGTGCGGTTCGACAGCGACGCCGCGATTCCGAGAGGGGAGCCGCGGGCGCCATGGATGGAGCAAGAGGGGCCGGAGTATTGGGACCGGGAGACACTGACCATCAGGGCCAGCGCGCAGACGCACCGAGGGAACCTGCGGACCCTGCGCAGCTACTACAACCAGAGCGAGGCCGGTGAGTGACCCCGGCCCCCGGCGCAGATCACGGCCCTCCTCATCCCCCACGGACGGTGGGCGTCGCCCCAAGTCTCCGGGTCGAGATCCACACTGAGACTACGCGACCCTCCCAGACCCTTGACCCTAGAGAGCCCCAGCGCCTTTACCCGGTTTCATTTTCCGTTTAGCCCCAAATCCCCGCAGCTTGGTCTGGGCGGGGGCGGGGTTCGGTGGATGGGTCTGACCGCGGGGGCGGGGCCAGGGCCTCACACCCTCCAGACGACCTATGGCTGCGACCTGGGGCCTGATGGGCGCCTCCTCCGCGGCTATTACCAACATGCCTATGACGGCAAGGATTACATCGCCCTGAACGAGGACCTGCACTCTTGGACAGCGGCTGACACGGCTGCTCAGATCACCCAGCGCAAGTTGGTGGGCGCCCATGAGGCGGAGGGGCTCAGGGCCTACCTGGAGGGCACATGCCTGAAGTGGCTCCGCAGATACCTGGCCAAGGGAAAGGAGACACTGCTGCATACGGGTACCAGGGGCAGTGGGGAGCCATCCCCGTCTCCTGTAGATCTCCCAGGATGGCCTCCCATGGGGAGGGGAGGAAAATGGGATCAGTGCTAGAATATCGTCCTCCCTCGAATGAAGGATGACATGAGTTTTCCTGAGTTTCCTCTGAGGTCCCCTCTGCTATCTAGGACAATTAAGGGATGACATCTCTGAGGCAATGGAGGGGAAGACAGTCCCTAGAATACTGATCAGGTGTCCACTTTGAGCCCTGCAGCACCCTTGGGGCACCGTGATTTCTTCACTCAGGCCTTGTTCTCTGCCTCACACGTGTTTGAAGGTCTGATTCCAGCTTTTCTGAGTCCCTCGGCCTCCACTCAGGTCAGGACCAGAAGTTGCCCAGAGACTAGAACTTTCCAAGGAATAGGAGATTATCCCAGGTGCCTGTGTCCAGGCCAGTGTCTGGGTTCTGTGCTCCCTTCCCCACCCCAGGTGTCCTGTCCATTCTCAGGATGGTTACAAGGGTACTGCTGGGGTGTCCCATGAGAGATGCAAAGTGCCTGAATTATCTGACTCTTCTTATCAGAGCCCCCAAAGACACAAGTAACCCACCACACAGTCTCTGACCATAAGACCACCCTGAGGTGCTGGGCTCTGGGCTTCTACCCTGCGGAGATCACATTGACCTGGCAGCGGGATGGGGAGGACCAAACTCAGGACACGGAGCTTGTGGAGACCAGGCCTGCAGGGGATGGAACCTTCCAGAAGTGGGCAGCTGTGGTGGTGCCTTCTGGAGAAGAGCAGAGATACACGTGCCATGTGCAGCACAAGGGATTGCCCGAACTGCTCACCCTGAGATGGGGTAAGAAGGGGGATGGGATAAGAGGGGGATGGGGTGTCCTGTCTCTTATCAGGGAAACCAGGAGCCTGTCTGGAGCCCTTCAGCAGAGTCAGGGCTGAGGTCTGGGGGTCAGGGCCCTTCACATTCCCCTCCTTTCACAGAGCCGTCTTCCCAGCTCACCATCTCCATCATGGGCATCGTTGCTGACCTGGTTGTCTTTGGAGCTGTGGTCATCGGAGCTGTGGTCACTGCTGTGACATGGAGAAGGAGGAACTCAGGTAGGGAAAGAGTGAGAGGTGGCATCTGGGTTTTCTTGTCCCACTCAGGGTTTCAAGTCCCAGGTAGAAATGTTCCCTGCTTCATTAGTGGAAAGCACCATTCACACATGGGCCAACCCAGCCTGTGGCCCTGTGTGCCAGTACTTATTATTTTGTGAAGCACATGTGACAACGAAGGACAGATGTATCACCTTGATGATTGTGGTGTTGGAGTCCTGATTCCAGCATTCATGAGTCAGGGGAAGGTCTCTGTTAAGGACGAACTTTAACAGGGCGATTGGTCCAGGACCCACACCTGCTTTCCTCGTGTTTCCATATTCTGCCCTGGGTCTGTAGTCACCATGGCTAGAAACTTTTTTTGGAGGAAAGTTTCTTGGAGCCTCCAAGTCTAGGAAGCTCCTCTAAGATCTCATAGCCCTGCCTCCTCCCAGTCCCCTCACAGGACATTTTCTTCTCACAGCAGGAAAAAGAGGGAGCTACTCTCAGGCTGCGTGTAAGTGTTGGGGGCAGGAGTGTGGAGGAGCTCACCCACCCCGTAATTCCTCCTGTCCAACATCTCCTGCGGGTTCTGACCAGGTCCTCTTTTTGTTCTACCCTAGGCAGCGACAGTGCCCAGGGCTCTGATGTATCTCTCGCAGCTTGTAAAGGTGAGATTTTGAGGGTCTGAAGTGGGTATGGGGTGGGGCAGCAGGGAAAGAACTGTGTGGTGAGGATTCTTTGATTGGGACATTTCAAGTGTGTGGTGGGCAGTTCAGAGTCTCATCACTTACCATGACTGACCTGAATTTGATCACACCTATTGTTTTCTGTAGCCTGAGACAGCTGCCTTGTGTGGGACTGAGATGAGGGATTTCTTCATGCCTCCCCTTTGTGACTTCAAGAGCCTCTGGCATCTCTTTCTGCAAAGGCATCTGAATGTGTCTGTGTCCCTGTTAGCATAATGTGAGAAGGTAAAGAGACAGCCCAGCCCATGTCCACTGTGACCCCTGTCACCATGATGACTTGTCATCTTTCCTGTTCCAGAGAGGTGGGGCTGGGCATCTCCATCTGTCTCAGCTTCGTGGTGCACTGAGGTGCAACCTCTTACTTTCTTACTAAAAATGAGAATATGAATATAAATTTGTTTTCTTAAATATTTGCCATGAGATGTTGATGGTTAATTAAGTCAGTCAATTCCTAAAATTTGAGAGAGAAAATAAAGACCTGAGAACCTTCTAGAATCCACATGTTCACTGTGCTGAGTTTGTTGCCAGTGGGGATGGAGAAAGCTGTGAGGAGGCAAGTGTGGACAGGGTCACTAGGTTTTCTTCTAGTGCTTTTATGGTGTTAGGTCTTATGTTTAAATCTTTAATCCATCTGGAGTTAATTTTTGTATAAGGTATAAGGAAGGGATTCAGTTTCATCTTTCTGCATATGGCTAGCCAGTTTTCCTAACATGATTTATTAAATAGGTAATCCTTTCCCCATTGCTTGTTTTTGTCAGGTGTGTCAAAGATCAGATATTGTAGATGTGTGGTGTTACTTCTGAGGCATCTGTTCTGTTCCATAAGTCTACACCTCTGTTTTGGTACCAGTACCATGCTGTTTTGATTACTGCAGCCTTGTAGCATAGTTTGAAGTCAGATATCGTGATGGCCTTCAGCTTTTTTTTTTTTTTTTTGCTTAGGATTGTCTTGGCTATGCATGCACTTTTTTGGTTCTATATGGTATTTAAGGATTTTTCCCCCCCAATTCTATGAAAAAAGTCAATGGTAGCTTGATGGGAATAGCATTGAATATATAAATTACTTTGGGCAGTATGGCTATTTTCATGATATTGATTTTTCCTAACTATGAGCATGAAGTGTTTTTCCATCTGTTTGTGTCTTCTCTTATTTCTTTGACAGTTGTTTGTAGTTATCCTGGAAGATGTCCTTCACATCCTTTATTAGTTGCATTCCTAGGTAGTTTATTCTCTTTGTAGCAATTTTAAATGGGAGTTCACTCATGATTTCTCTCTCTGTTTGTCTGTTATTGGTGTATAGCAATGCTTGTGATTTTTGCACATAGATTTTGTATCCTGAGACTTTATTGAAGTTGCTTATCAGCTTAAGGAGATTTTGGGCTGAGATGATGGGGTCTTCTAAATATACAATCACGTCATCTGAAAATAGAGACAATTTGACTTCCTCTTTTCCTAATTGAATACCCTTTATTTGTTTTTCTTGCCTAATTGTCCTGGCCAGAACTTCCAATACCATGTTGAATAGAAGTGGTGAGAGAGGTTATCCTTGTCTTGCATCAGTTTTCAAAGGGAATGCTTCCAGTTTTTCCCCATTCAGTATGATATTGGCTGTGGGTTTGTCAGAAATAGCTCTAATTATTTTGAGATACGTTCCATCAATACCTAGTTTATTGACGGTTTTTAGCATAAAGGGCTGTTGAATTTTGTCAAAGCCCTTCTCTGCATCAATCATGTGGTTTTTGTCTTTGGTTCTGGTTATGTGATGGATTACTTTTATTGATTTGCATGTGTTGAATCAGCCTTGCATCCCATGTATGAAGCTGACGATCTTGATGGATAAGCTTTTGGATGTGCTGTTGGATTCAGTTTGCCAGCATTTTATTGAGGATTTTTGCATCGATGTTCATCAGGAATATTGGCCTGAAATGTTTTTTTTTTTAGTTGTGTCTCTGCCAGGTTTTGGTACCAGGATGTTGTTGGCCTCAAAATGAGTTAGGGAGGATTCTCTCTTTTTCTATCATTTGTCGTAGTTGCAGAAGGAATGGTACCAGCTCCCTTTTAACTCCTGGTAGAATTTGGCTGTCAACTCATCTGGTCCTGGACTTTTTTTGGTTGGTAGGCTATGAATTGCTGTCTCAATTTCAGACCTTGTTATTGGTCTATTCAGGGATTCAATTTCTTCCTAGTTTAGTCTTGGGAGGGTGTAAGTGTTGAGGAATTCATCCATTTCTTCTTAACTTTCTGGCTTATTTGCATAGAGGTGTTTGTAGTATTCTCTGATGGTAGTTTGTATTTCTGTGGGATCAGTGGTGATATCCCCTTTATCATTTTTTATTGCATCTATTTGATTCTTATCTCTTTTCTTCTTTATTAGTCTGGCTAGTGGGCTATCTATGTTGCTGATCTTTTAAAAAAAACCAGTTCCTAGATTCATTGCTTGTTTGAAGAGTTTTTCCTGTCTCTATTTCCTTCATTTCTGCTCTGATCTTAGTTATTTCTTGTCTTCTGCTAGCTTTTGAATTTGTTTGTTCTTGCTCCTCTAGTTCTTTTAATTGTGACATTAGGGTGTCAATTTTAGATCTTTCCTCCTTTCTTTTGTGGGCATTTAGTGCTATACATTTCCTTCTAAACACTGCTTTAAATGTGTCCTGAGGTTTTGGTACATTGTGTCTTTGTTCTCATTGGTTTCAAAGAACATCTTTATTTCTGCCTTCATTTCATTATTTGTCCAGTAGTTATTCAGGAGCAAGTGGTTCAGTATCCATGTAGTTGTGCAGTTTTGAGTGGGTTTCTTAATCCTGAGTTCTAATTTGATTGCACTGTGGCCTGAGAGACTGTTTGTTATGATTTCCATTATTTTGCATTTGCTGAGGAGTGTTTTATTTCCTGTTATGTGGTCTATTTTAGAACCAGTGTGATGTGATTCTGAGATGAATGCATATTCTGTGGATTTGGGGTGGAGATTTCTGTAGGTGTCTATTAGGTCCACTTGGTCCAAATCTGAGTTCAATTCCTGGATATCTTTGTTAATTTTCTGTCTTGTTGATCTGTCTAACATTGACAGTGTGGTGTTAAACTATCCCACTATTAATTTGTGGGAGTCTAAGTCTCTTTGTAGGTCTCTAAGAACTTGCTTTATGAATCTGGGTGCTTCTGTATTGGGTGCATATATATTTAGGATAGTTAGGTCTTCTTATTGCATCGATCCCTTTACCATTATGTAATGCCTTTTTTGTCGCTTTTGATATTTGTTGGTTTAAAGTCTGTTTTGTCACAGACTAGGATTGCAAACCCTGCTTTTTAAAATTTTTTTGCCTTCCATTTGCTTGGTAAATATTCCTCCATCCCTTTATTTTGACCCTATGTGTGTGTTTGTATGTGAGATTGTCTCCTGAATACAGCACACTGATGGGTGTTGACCCTTTATCCAATTTGCCAGTCTGTGTCTTTTAATTGGGGTATTTAGTCCATTTACATTTAAAGTTAATATTGTTATGTGTGAGTTTGATCATACCATTATAATGCTAGTTGGTTATTTTGCCTGTTAGTTGCTACGATTTGTTCATTGTGTCTATAGTCTTTCCAATTTGGTATGTTTTTGCAGTGGCTGGTACTGATTGTTTCTTTCCATGTTTATTGCTTCCTTCAGGAGCCCTTGTAAGGCAGGCCTAGTGGTGACAAAATCTTTCAGCATTTGCTTGTCCGTAAAGGATTTTATTTATCCTTCGCTTATGAAGCTCAGTTTGGCTGGATATGAAATTCTGGCTTGAAAATCCTTTTCTCTAAGAATGCTGAATATTGGCCCCCATTTGCTTTTGGCCTATATGGTTTCTGCCAAGAGATCCACTGTGAGTCTAATGGGCTTCCCTTTGTGAGTAACCTCACCTTTCTCTCTGGCTGCCCTTAGTATTTTTTCCTTCATTTCAACCCTGGTGAATCTTATGATTATGTGTCTTCAGTTTACTCTTCTCAAGGAGTATCTTTGTGGTGTTCTCTGTATTTCCCGAATTTGAATGTTGGCCTGCCCTGGTAGGTTGAAGTTATCCTGGATAATATCCCAAAGAGAGTTTTCCAGCTTGGTTTCATTCTCTCCATCATTTTCAGGTATACCGATCAAACATAGATTTGGTCTTTTCACGTATTCCCATATTTCTTGGAGGCTTTGTTCATTTATTTTCACTCTTTTTTTTTTTTTTTTAAATCTTGTCTTCTTGCTTTATTCCATTGAGTTGATCTTCAATCTCTGATATTCTTTCTTCTGCTTGATTGATTTGGCTATTGAAACTTGTTTACGCATCATGAAGTTCTCGCGCTGTCTTTTTGAGCTCCATCAGGTCATTTATGTTCTTCTCTGTTATTCTAGTTAGCATTTCATCTAACCTTTTTTCAAGGTTTTTATTTTCCTTGCATTGGGTTAGAATATGCTTCTTTATCTCAGAGCTTATTATTATCCACCTTCTGAAGCCTACTTCTGTCAATTTGTCAAACTCATTCTCTGTCCAGTTTTATTCCTCTGCTGGTGAGGAGTTGTGATCCCTTGGAGGAAAAGAGGTGGTCTGGTTTTTGGAATTTTCAGTCTTTTTGCACTGCTTTCTTCCCATCTTTGTAGATTTATCTACCTTTGGTCTTTGGAGTTGGTGACCTTTGGAACAGGTCTCTGAATGGATGTCCTTTCTGTTGATGTTGAGACTATTTCTTTCCGTTTGTTAGTTTTCCTTCTAACAGTCAGGGCCCTCTGCTGCAGGTCTGCTGGAGTTTGCTGGAGGTCCACTTCAGACCCTGCTTGCTGGGAAATCACCAGTGGGAGCTGCAGAACAGCATAGATTGCTGCCTGTTTCTTTCTTTGATAGCTTTGTCCCAGAGGGGCAGCCACCAGATGCCAGCCAGAGCTCTCTTGTGTGAGGTGTCTGTTGTCCCCGACTGGGAGGTGTCTCACAGTCAGGATTCATGGGGGTCAGAACTGCCACTTGAGGAGGCAGTCTGTCTCTTATTTGAGCTGGAACACTGTGCTGGGAGATTTGCCTTCCTTTTCAGAGCTACCAGGCAGGGACATTTAAGTCTGCTGAAGCTGTACCCACAACAGCATCCTGTACCCAAGTGCTCTGTCCCAGGAATGTGGGGGTTTTATTTATAAATCCCTGATGGGCTGCTTCCTTTTTTCAGAAATGCCCTGCCCCATGAGGTGGGAGTCCAGTGACATAGTCTGCCTGCAGAGGCTTTCCTAAGCTACTGTGGGCTCCAACCAATTTAAACTTTCCAGTGACTTTGTTTACACTGATGTTAAAACCACCTAATGGAGTCTCAGCAATAGCGGACACCCTCCCCGCTCCCCCACCAAGCTCAAGTGTCTCAGGTGGAGTTCAGACTGCTGTGCTGGCTATAAGAATTTAAGCTAGTGGATCATAGCTTGCTGGTCTTCATGGGGGCAGGACCCACTGAGCCAGATGACTTGGCTTCTTGGCTTCAGCCCCCTTTCCAGGATAGTGAATGGTT